CTATTAGTTGCCAAGTGACAGATTTATCTAGTTACAGTTGAATTCACTTTATATTATTCATAATTTAAATTGCTACAGAGAAAAACCTGTGGTGCCATACAATCAGGTGCCAGGTTCTCCTCACTACACAGATGTGCTAGATTCATTTCAAGTGTCACATTTAGACAGAAATCACAAAAGAACAGCTTCATTTGTTCCTCTGAAATTTGTGGGAATAGAAGTTGCAAGCATGACTTAGTTTAAAATGCATTTTAACTGAATTACATACATATAGATTTTTACTTATCTATTTTTTGCAGTGGATTACTTCAGTGATAAGAGAATTTGTTACACTTCAAAGCCACACAGACAGGTTTAATCTTGCTGAGTGCTGAATCACCTTGTCCCAAACCATGAAAGCACTTAACAGTGTTGTGTCAATTTAGAACCACCAAAATGAACAAGACTGCTCACGAATAAAGGGGCCCCCAAAGCGAAGCACAGCACAGTCAGTTTGTTCAGTGCCAGCTCACAGCAAGAACAAGAATGCTGGGAAATGGGGATGAGATGTGCAAACTCTTGCAAAATAAGCACTGTAAGGAACTTAGAAGAAAGAAGCAGCAAAAACTCTCCCTAGTTATTTTATAACCTCATTGGGTATTTTGTAACCTCATTTGCACAGAGCAAAATAAAACCACTTCCTAATGAACAATGATCCTTGGTTCATTAATAATAATTAAGGCTGGAACTGGACTACATTTTTTAACATCTTGTTGTAATGAAGTCACCCATTCACTTGCCCTGTTGACTGTTACACGGAATTAACTAAAACATTGTTTTAATACAATCAATTATTAATATTCTATTTCTAGATATTCTTTACACTTAAGATTCTAAAATAACATCCTTGGACGCAGTCAGGTGGGACAGGATAAAAGCAGACTGGCTCCCACTTTGGAAAATAACTCATTTGCTGAAGAGCCAGTGTAGCCACAGAGCCAGATGCAATGCCATGATGCAAGGGGCTGTAAGGCTTGTCCAGAAAGAAGCTAGATCCAGGAAAAGGCATTCTGGAGCCCAGCAATAAAGAGAACAAGATGAGGAAGCAAAGAGAGCAAAACTCAGCTTTGGTTCTCCAAGTAGGTGTTGCTTCTGGGTCTCTATAAACTTCTATTTAAGCCACACAGGAACAGAACCTTCCCTTTCTTTCCAGGTAAGAAACACAAACTAAACAGCAAGGCTGAAACTCGCAGGTATAAATCAATCCCCTTTATGTCTCACAGCACTGCCAGGAAACCTAAGTGGGTTTCACCCTCCAAACCTGGAGGCAGAACATGCATCAGTGTTCAAAGAGTGAGGGAAGCAGAGAACACAGCCAGGAGAGGGGAACACAAACAGGATTGGGCTGAGAAATCAGCTGGAAACCAGCTGTAACCAAAAGGGATGAAAGAAGGTGTGGATTGTGAACCAGGCACTGCAATGAGAAAGATGACAACCCCAGAAGAGGAACTGAAACCTTTTGTTGACTGAAATTTAGGAGAAAGCAGAACTATGGGATTTGTTATTAAAACATGAACTTTGGGCATTAGAGCAGCCTTTTTATTCTTAAAATAAACATAAACCATAAAGTTTTCAAAGCTCACTCACAGAAGCTAAAGGCACTGCAAGGCAAAAGAGCTGGAAAGACACAGCTGCAGGAACCTCAGACTGAGAATATGGAGCAGTTACAGAGACAAGTGAAACGCAAAGATAAAAGTAGAATTTTTAAGTTGATTTTGAAAGTGTACAGTGCAAATAATAATAAAAAATTCTAACCTCAGTACTGAATAAAAACACTAGCAGCTTCAGCCAGAAAGAATACCATCTAGACTGAGGGGAGAAGAATGAGAATTAGTGCAAAATAAGCAGAAGTAGGAACTAGTTTTGGAAACTGATTCATGCCTTTAACAGGCTGCAAAGGCACAAATGGATAGCAGAAGATTTACTGTTTCTTTGAACATTCATTCTCACTGCCCTTATAATTTTTCAAGGCACTGTCAGACAGAGGTAACTACACATTCATCACTGAAGGAAGAGCTCCTCTTGAAAAATGCAGAACAGTATTCCAGGGGCCATAAGGCTGAGGGACAACATCCTCCTTTGTAAGGCAAAGCTTTGTAAGGAAAAGTCCACCCACTGGAGTGAAAAAATGGTCCTTGCTTTTACAGTTGTCACAGTCCAGAGCTGCTCTAAATAAATAAAAAAAAAAAACAACGCCTGAAGAACAAACACATGCAAATAGAATAACCTGAATGTTCTGGAGTTATTAAAACTTGTGAACTCCAGCCATGCACAAAAGAAAGTTGACAGCATGCTCTCCAACACTGTAAAACACTTCAAAGGAAAACCCTGCCTCCTCCATTCAGTATTACAACTAATCCACCCCAAACACCTTTCCATGTGCACAGAGAATTTTTTTGTACAGTGGTATTTTATTATCTTAATGCTTATTAAAAAAATAAAGTTTAATATTAAACTCCTTTAAAAGTGTATTCACTGGATAGCTTTATCTGCCTATTTATATTCGAAGAGAAGGGAAGAGTTGCTGAAATGAAAGTCAAGTGAAGAATTAGTTTCCTTTTCCCCAAAAGGGGAGGAGTCAAAGGACTGTAGTTTTGACTGACAGGAAATACTGAAAAAGAAACAGGTTTGCATTTACCAAAGCAACACTGGAGAAGAAACTACTGCCACTCAATGTCAAACTGATGCTAAAAACGGGGACCTCAGACAAGACTAAAAAGTTCCTTTTATTTCAACTAAACATTACTTTAAGGCACCAGGCACAGGTGCTCATGTTTTGCAGCACCTCACTCATAACTGCACATGCACCTCTAGTTTTTAAAACTGTGTATTTTGTTGTTTTCAGAGTTGCTTTAAACACGTTCCTTAGAAAATAAAACATGTCTAAAAGAAATAAAAAATTACAGCTCATTTTTAAAACTGAGCAGATTTTATGTGATGGCATTTTATTAATGGCATCAAAGAGCAGAAGGAAGGCCACCATACAAAGCTGAAGATACCAACCAAAAACTGAAAAGCAGAGAGAACAGTAATGCCATAATGTCACATCCATGTGGTGAACAGGCAGGTGACATAGAGAAAACAGAACCTCTATTTATGGGATAAAGTACCCAGACCACAGGGAATGGTGGGGGAAAATATTAAAACCCAGCTCATGGCAGTCTAACGGATATTAAGGGGCCGTGAAGTCACAGCATCCCTCTGCCATCCCCATCCCTGTCCCCTCTCCCGGAGGATTTGCGCCATCGAGATGGGGGCAAAGTACATGCCCAGGCAGCGCTGCCAGGGCAAAACCCCTTTGACTTGTAGTAAGTATTTCAAGCTGCCCCAGTTCTTCTTAGTAAATCAAGCACCTGACAGCGGAGCCCAGAAGGCAGGAACAACATCACTCACACAGGTGAGCGCACCTGGGACAGCCCCGAGGGCTGCGGGAACTCCCGAGGGATGCGGCGGCTCCGCACGGGGGGAACAGGGGAAGGTGCTCCGGGAGAGAACAAGGGAAGGGGGTCCCTCAGCCCATCCCGCGCCCCGGGGACCCCCGCACCCACCCGGCAGTCTTGCTCCTTGCCCGACCCCGGCTGCTCCCCCGCATCCTGCGGCTCCTCCCCGGCTGCCGCCTCCGCTCCCTCCGCTTCGCCTCCGCCGCCATCCTCCTCCTCCTCCTCCTCGTCCTCCTCTTCCTCTCCCTCCCAGGTGGAGTCGTAGTCCTCCGGCTTGCCCACCTCCTCCCATAACCGCTCCGTGTAGGAGAAAGCCATGGAGCGCGGCGGGGAACGGAAAGGGAAAGCGAAAGGGATCGGGGAAGGGGCGGCGGGGCCGCCGCCCGCCCGCGCGCACAAAGCACGGCCACGTGGGGGGGGGAACGGAAGCGCGAGCAGGCCCCGCCCCCTTCCTGCGCCCGCCCGCACCGGTCCCGGTGGCACCGGGAGCTTCCCTCCTTCCTCCGCCGGGATCCGGGAGCGCCGGCACCTGGGGATGGGGAGATGGTCATCCTGCTGGGACATGAGCGAAAGAGCAATATTCCCAAGGAGCCTGGGGAGCAAGGCAAAGCGCGGAGGCGCTGGGGTCATTTAAAGCATTTAAATTTACATTTACATTTGTCAATACCCAACTTGACGTCCAAAAAATTCCTAAAAAATCTGCGCTGCGGGACTGGGCGTGAAATCCCAAGTGGGCTTTCCCTGCTACGAGGTTGGCGCTGAGAGGTCGCGCCAGTACACGTTGTTGTCGACACAATTCTACTTCGAGCTATAAAAACATGTCATTGGTAGAGCAAACATTTTGGAATGGCATCACCTGGGTGAGCTGGATTTACACCCACAGGGCCGTGAGACTTGAGAGATACAGAATCCGCACTTCACGGCCAGAATCTGCATAGATCATGACAAAGTTTCTCAAGGGAATAGCAGAACTTAACAGAGGCATTCATTCACCTTTGGGCGTGAATGAATTCTTCACTCACTGGGTGACAGATCTGTAAGTGACGTGTGATTACAACCTCTAGGAACTCGATCCTACCGAATAAGTTGTTTTTCAACATTAAAATCGGGAGCTTCCTCACATAAGGTTATAAAAGGTCATTTCCCACCTGCCCAGAAAACCTCTGAGGCTCCTACAGCACCTCTCCCACAAACCAGAGCTCCAAGGGGCTCTCCGGTTGGTGGCATCTCACCAGACATTCTCCAAGGATTAAAGCACTGAATTCATGGTAATTGTACCTTCTGGTAAATCCTCAAGTTTGGAAGCTTGCAGCAACCTATCTATTGTGTTCAGCAGGCCAGGATTTTTTATCAAATATCATATAGAAATAACAGGGTTCATACAGACAAAGTTAGTAAAAAAAGCCAAACCCAAACCCCCAGGCAGGCACTTTTGACCAATGCCACTAAAGGCACAGGGTACCTAAATAAGTTCCAAAATACACTGGGCAAGATTTTAATCAAGTCACACAACAATTACCATTTAGTAAAATAAAAACAAGTCAAATTTATTCTTGGTATAAAACAAGAGAAGAAAATAAGGCAGACAAGAACTTGGCTACGTACCTAGAATAAAAGCAAAAAGTAGTAGACTCCTAGTGCCTCACCTTGAAGGCAATACTGACAGATTAAGAAGTAATTCTTCCTTTTATTAACTGGTAGTTAATATAATGAAACAAATTCAGTACCATTTCAACCTGCTTCATTCACCATGTAACAGGTGTTTGTTGACTGTGGTCCATCTTCTCACAGCACAAAAATAGTAATTTTATCAAATCTCAATATCTTAGCATATAAAAGATAAGCATTACAGTGTCAGTAAGGTTCTTCAGCTGTAGAACAAAATGAACATTTTGGAAAACCAATTCCATTTACATCTACTAAAACCGCTTTAAAAAAATAAATAATTAAGTACAAACCCCACTGTTTTACACTACTGTATTACAAACGGATGAAGCAACACCTCCAGGTTCATGCACAGCTCAACTGATCCCTTACAAAACAATGTGACATCTCCAGATATTTTATTTAGGACACTTATTAATTATTCTGGCTAGGGGCATTACAATTTTCACTTCACTTATGGCATATAAACTTAGAAAGATTGAAAAATGTTACATCTCTAAGGGTCAAATGAGGTTCCTCCAGCCAACAGAGCGACAGAACACTTCAACTCAGTAGTTACCTGCATTTAAAAGAATTTTAGTTGTACTGAACCAACAAATTGAGACATTTGATACAAGTGCTATGTTTGCAGCAAGTGAAATGGCCAAAACATTACCCACAGATGGTCTGTGATACTCACAGACGGCAACAAAGGCAGAAAACACAATCCCAGGTTTACAGGAATCGCCTTTGCTTTTGCTGATCCGAGGCCCCGTGTTGCACTGGGCACGGGTTTCATGAGCTGTGCTGCCACAGAGCGTGTTGCTGGTTGGGAATGCAGCCACTGGCACTGTTACACCCACTCTCCACATTCCCAGCCTGCTCCCCAGGCCCCCAGAAGGCAGCCAGGGAACGCACCAGCCCAAGAGTCTTGCGCGTATAAAGCCGATGTGCGGATTCTTCAAACACCTGGCTCAGGTATCTTTTCCTTCCTCAAAGAGTTTCTGTAGCAACTATCCTGTGACTTGTTTTTGCTGTTCCCCCCTCCCATCCCAGAGTCTGTCACTCCTCTCTCACAGCTCTACGTCCTGCGGCGTTTGGCGGCGCTGGGACTGGAAGGGTTACTGTTTGCATTTAACACCTTCTCAGTGACTCTGTTGCGCTTCCTCTTATCAGATCCTTCTTTGGATCCAGAATCTGATGAAGTTTTCTCTTTCTCTTTGCTGCTTGGCTTTTCAGTTGCTTTTCCTAAAGTTCCAGAGGGTGCAAAAACTGAAATAGGATCAAAGTAATGATTCCAGATCAGAGTCACACACAAAGGCAAACAAGAGTGATATCAAATTTTCTTTATATTACATAAAACTTCTCAAAACAATCAACTCTCTCAGCATATTTATCCACCATTAGGTACTACTTTCACTTCTAAAGGAAAAATCTTCTCTGAGAAAGGCACATCTTGCTTTTATTATTTGCTTTAAAGACAGGCATGTATTTTCACAGGCTAAAAATCGAATTCATTAAGTGGAATTAAACAGCACTTAATATTAAAATACTTAATAGGAACACTTACAGAACATAGGACCAATCTATGGAATTTATAATCAGCAACGGTCATTACATTTGGTATCATAGGTAGATATTAAAACTGAACACCCAAAATGTGAAATTTAATATATTTTTAAATACATGTTTAGATCTTTTATTACAATCTTTAAACACCACTTATTCAGTGATATAAATATGATGAAATTATATATAGTAGTTGGCTTGGTCTGTTAATGTAAATAGCAGGATCTCTACTGTTCACATCTGACTTGTTCTACAGCAAAGTGTTAGGAAAACAAGCCTTTTATTTAAAAGAAGCAAGATAATGAGAATAAAATAAAATAAAATAAACTCTGCCCGCCTTCCCATTTAAGTACACAATTTTACAATCTTTTTTGATTTATACACCCTATTTCCCCCATGACTACAAAGTTCCTTTCACAGAGTATTTAGGTTCAATAAAACTGGACCCAACTTTCTCTCGGAGATCCTCAGATTCCTTCAGACTCCCAGGGGTTTGTCAAGTACATATTAAACCAAAAAATCTCCAAAGCTATACAACCTGCACAGATGAATTAGGAGCAAAGAAGAAATCTTTTCGATAAGCAACTGCTTACTCTGTGCATTCTTAAATTATTCTAATTCTTGGCATGAGCACATGCTGAGTCTGAGTACAAATCACAAAGTACACTGTATTTGGGATTTACATTTTAACATTAATTTCTCAGCGTTACAGTTGGTTTTTAATCTCGTATTACACAGTAGAGAGTTACAAAATTACCTTCTTCTGGACCTGCATGTGTTTCCAGCTCTTCTTTTAAAATTTCCTCTTTCACTTCTTCTTCCATCATTACTTTTCCTACAGAAAGGATTGTTAGCAATGGTTAGACGGGTTTAAAGAACCACATATTCAGTGCAACATTCAGCAGTAATTTGGAAAAGTTCCTCTGGCAGATGCTTGAACTTCCTAACTCCTCCCTTGGATAACAGCACCAACAAACACACATGCAGCTAAACTTTCAAAATCCAGCTTTCACTGCCCAACCTGAGATTTCTGTCAAACTCCTGCATATTTCTATTAGATTAAACAATACAGAGAGTTTTTTTCAAATCTCTCTCACTCATGATAAATCCACACAGTTATACACCAAGAAAGTAAAAACACAAAGAGATGATTTCACAGGGCAATGAAACCACTGTGAATCTATAAAAAAGCCTCTAAACATTTCATATGGGTTTTGTTTTCAATCAATTTTAATGCAACTTCAGAAAAAAAAACTTCATGAAAACCTATCACTGGGTATTAAAAACCGGTAATGCTTTTTAAAACAAAATAGATGAACCATATAAAAAACAATAATAGCCTAAAAATGAGATAGTTATTTCAGCACAAGGTAAAGCCCATGGCCAAAAGCAAGCTTCTCCTGCTACTGAAACTGCAGCTTTTCAGTAAGTATATCCCTGTACATTTTAAAATATTAGGTGAATTGCTGTTTAACTGCCTTATATTATCACTGGTACAGACAATTTTATCACAGAAATATTATTACATACAAATTAAGTGCAGAAAATGTTATTTTTATCAGCTCTATAGCTCCTACTCCTTAAAGTATGATCTTACTACAAAACAAAGCACATTAAAATGTGCAGATCATCTATTTAACCAAAGTTATGGTCTGATATAATATTACAACCATCTCAACAAGGTGCAGAAACCCCACAACAAGCTACAAATCACCTTTAAAGGAACCACATTTTGCCATCATTCTGCAAACTGGTATCAGCAAAGCAAAGCTGGATTTAAACAGTACAAATAGAACCTGTTTGTGCTACATTAGCATCCCATCTACTTCATATTTAAGAATTTGAGATATTCTGTGTGGAACCTGACCAAAGGTGTCTCTTTCCTGCAATGGTCAATCACAAAGGCTGGTAACAAGGATATGAACAGCACAAGAACTAGGATCCTTTCCTTGACACTTCCTTCAGTCAGTTGATTAAAAATTCATGAGATAAACTTGTATCAGTTTAACGCTCCCTTTTCCCACTGCACCAAACACACCAGTCTGAAAGAATGGCCTTGGATCAGCATCTCACACTCTTTCTTGGGGAGAGTTTTGTTAAACATTCTGGGATGAGATCAGAGTATCCAAGAAGCAGAGACTGCTGTCACATCTTACCTTCTCTCACTTCTTGAATCATTTCATCAGGAAGAGCAAAATTCTTCTCTATATTAGGGAATGGAAGAATCTCTGATTCATGCTTAGAAAGAAAAGAATGGTCTCTGTGAGTGGCTTGTAAAAATTTTAATTGGAATTTAGAAATGCAATCTCCAGTTCTGCTTTACATGCAATTAGTAGCTAAATAATTCTTATCAAGACAGTTCAGATGTTAGAGAACCAGGAGGCTCCTGATGTCAAACCGATTACTAAGGTCAAGATACCCAAGGTCATGACTTAGGACCATTTGAGATCATTTCTGCAACCCAAACATGGCAATTTCTTAAGTAAACACACTGTAACTTTTTCATTTGACACTTATACATCTATGTAAACATTTGCTGGATCAGCGTTTAGGCAAACAAAAAACAAACAAAAAACCCTCACAAGCCAGTGCAGGTTTTGTTGTCTCCCACCTAATCTATATTTATTCAGGGCAAACCCCATCAACCCAAAGAATGACATGTAATTCTCGGTATGATGAAAAAGTACAACAGACCCAGTGATTTTGGTCTATCAAAACTTCTGAACTCTATGAAATAACCACGTGGCTGCATCAACCCTTTATACTCACAAGAGCTTGCATATCATACATGGTGCTCAGATGGTCCCAAATCACCTTGGATGAAATCTGCCGTCCGATATTCTGGCTGAATTTATCCCGGATGCAAATCATGTGGAAATGGCGATTCACACCTGGGGGGAAGAACTCAGTGCAGTTTTATTTATGCCAATTAGATACATTTCAGTACATATTTCTTTATGACACCATTAAAAAAGTGTTGTGTTGTTGCAAGGAATCCAGACATTACAGGAGAGACAGGCGGCATCTGGGCAGGCTGATCCTTCACCCTGCACTGCAGGTGCTATTCCAGAGTGGGCTGAGGGTGCTCCAGTGGGTAACACTGACATATAGCCAGAGCTTTTAGAGGGGCTGTGTGAGAAACAACCGGAGGAAAGTCTCCCGAGTTCTGTGTCCAGTTCTGGGCTTCTCAGTACAGGAGAGACACGGAGCTCCTGGAGCACATCCAGCGGAGGGGAATTAAGGGACTGGAGCACTGCTCTCAGGAGAAAAGGCAGAGGGAGCTGGGCCTGTTCAGCCTCCACAAGAAACGACTGAGAGGGAACCTCGTCAATGTGTATAAATATCTAAAGACAGGGTGCCGAGACGATGGAACCAGGCCCTGCTCGGTGTAACGGGCAGGCACGCACGGGCAGTTCCATCTGAACAGGAGGAAGAAATCCTTTACTGTGAGCACTGGAACAGGTTTCCACGGAGCGGCTGTGGAGTCTCCCTCACTGGAGACATCCCAGAGCATTTCTGGGCGCAATCCTGTGCCCTGTGCTCTGGGACGGCCCCGCCGGAGCCAGCGGCCCGCTGCGGCCCCTTTCTGTGTGACCCGCTCGGCGGTTCAGTGCAGGCGGGAGGCAGCAGGTCCCCGAGGGACGGGGGGGCCGGTCCAGGCCCAGCCCGGGCGGCTCAGCGGGCCGGGAGGGCCCGCCGCTCCCTCCCTCCCTCCTCACCGGCCCCGCCGCAGCCCCGGGAGCCTCTCGGAGCCCCCCGCCCGCCGCTCTCCCCTCCCCGGCCCCCGCCGCTCCCGGAGGCCGCGGCCCGCGCTCACCTACGGGCTTGTGGCCCAGCATGGCGTGGAACAGGCAGACCTCCACCTCCGGGCTCCACACCACCGCCGCCTCCTCGGCCGGAGCGCCGGGCTCCGGCCCGGCCGCCGCCGCCGCCGCGGCTGCAACAGCGGCAGCGACCGCCGCGGCCGCCCCGGGCCCGGCCGCGGGCAGCGGCGGCTTCTCCACGGCGGCGGCCGAGCCGCCCTCCGCCTCGCTCATCGCCGCGCCGCGCCCGCAGCGGCTCCTGCCGGCCGGGAGGGGGCAAAGAGCCGGCTGGGACCGCGCCGGGGGCGGGGGAGGTTCGGGGGGTTCCCTCGGGCTCGGAGCGGTTTCTCTGCGGGGGGTGCGCTGGGCTCGCAGCGCTGGAGGGCACCGAGAGCCAGCGCTGAGGGACGGGGCCAGAGCGGGACCGTCCGGCACAGCCTCGTGGGCCTCCGGGGGAAGTGCCTTGTGGACCCCTAGGAAAAGACTTCTGGACCTCTGGGAAGTTCCTTACGAACCTCTGGGAAGGGCCCTATAGACCTCTGGGAAGGGCCTTATGGACCTCTGGGAAGTTCTTTATGGACCTCTGGGAATAGCCTTAAGGACCCGTGGGAAGAGCCTTATGGACTGCTGTCCTGTCTCAGGGTCTCTAGGGACAGTTCTGGAGGTGGCACAACGCCGCCATCCCAATGGGCTCCACAGGGATGTTCTGCTGATTTTGGGGTCCCCGGGGCCGGGGTGGCAGCACTGCGGGGTCACAGCAGGGCTGAGGGTCGGCCCTGATGCCCAGGAAGCCTCGGTCAGCCCAGTGCTCACCCTCCTGGCCTAGGAAGTCTTGGCCAGTCCAGCGTTTGCCCTTTGGTCCCGTCTTTCTCTAGCCCAAGGAGCTGCCACGCTGGAAGGTTGCACTGCAATCCCCCCCAAACAGTCCCTCCTTGTCACAACAGGATTGTTCTATATGAAATATCAGCCTGACATTGATGTTTTACGAATAACCACGCCTGGCTTGGTTGCAAAACGCAGAACCCACCAGCTTTGCCAATCATTTAAGGCGTAAAAAAAGATTTTCTTTGGGAAGAAAGAATATGTATCATTCCCTCAGAGATAAGGGGCTTTTGCCTTCTTAGGTATAATTAGACACACAGGCATGAAACGGGACTGCTGTTGCTTAGGTGATCAGGTTTTCCGATTGCTCACTCCTCACTTGAAGATTTAATCCATTTTGTGACATTAAAAATATTTCAATGGCAAATAGCGATGACACCATATGCAAAGAACAACTGTTCTGAGTGAATAATAATAGTGGGGACAAACATTCACAAGCTGAGACATTAATGCAAATTATCCAAATAATAGAAAGCAGGAAAGGCAAGATGCAATTTTCTGAAACTGAACTTTGTGTACCTTTCGATACCCAAAGGGTTGACTTGACTTGTATCATTGTTTTGGGCTTGATATAGTGCTTATACCCTGAACAGGTTAATCTAACATTAAATAAACATTTGAAATGAGTTAAACCCTAAACCTCATGTGTAAAGCCTTGCAAAGTTTGGTAGTGTGAACCCTGGATATAAATCTTCCTTTCCAGCAGGGTTCAGATTGTCCTCTTGGAATGGAAAGAAGTCTGTGACTCTAGTCTGGCTTAGATGCTGTTGAAATTTTCCAGGAATAACTTTGTGTGAGAGCTCCAGAGTGACAGATATCTTGCTGGAATGACTTCTCTGCATCAAGACTACAGGAATCTCCAGAAATATTCTTTCTGCCTGCTGTCACCACTGCTGTACCTATGTCCTGGTTGTGCTGAATAGCCCAGGCTTCACACTTCTTTCCTCATTTTGAGCCAAAATTACCTATCAGTGGGATTTTGCCAATCTCAAATGCAAGTCTACGTGTTTTTACAGTTAAATCCAGCCCTAAATCTCAGACCTGGTTAATCTTTATCCAGTCTATGCTGCTCTCTACTCTTCAGCTCGTACTGAGGGAAAGAGTTATGGTTTCCTGTGATGGCTGCACAGCAGAAGGAAATGAGTTCCTGAACAACTAAATTCCTGTTTTCGTGCATGTTTCTAGGCACAGAAAAATGAAGGAAGAAAGAAAAGCAAATAAATTGCAGAGTATAAAAATTGTTCCTCTGTTGAATAGTTTTCAAAGTTTCGCAGGAATAATTTTTTATTATTTTTAAGTCTGTGTGAGACACTGAGCTTCTGCACTCTCATCTGTCACATTATGTTCCTACTTAAAGACATCAAGAGGGAATAACTGTGTCAGCTCAGATAGCAATTTTTATATCACTAAGTTCTAATGACAGTACATGAAAAATGTGAAAAAAACCTGTGGCTACCTCTGAAAGTATAACAGCATCTGAAAATAATTCAGTTCAGTAGAATAACATTAATTCAGCAGGAAGAGTATATGTATAAACTGGCTGCTATTTTGTTTCAATCACAAATAATTATATTTCCCTCTATCTAAATTCCCTTGTCACTTCACTGCCTCTAGCAAACATATGGGAGTCTATAATAATGCCACATACAGCCTCCACCTGGATTTGGACCAGAGTTTAATTTTCCCCTCATTAAATTTTAGCTTTTTTTTTTTTTTTTTTTTTTTTTTTTCACTTGGTGAACAGATTTTTCAGATTCAGAAAAATTTCCAATCCTCTCGTTCAAGTTTAAATCTCACTTTTGGGTTTAAGCAGATTCCAGCTAAGACATGCATCATTTTGTTCCTCTCTTTTTCTTCCCACTCTTTCAGCCTTAGAAACCTCACTGCCTGTTGTATCACCTGAGGGTGCTCAACCCTGTCCCCCAACCAGAAAATGATCTGATATTTCGTAAGATATTGCAACAACTGAGAAATCTGCCTGGCATTTGGCATTCTCTCTAGAAGTGTTGGATTTCTGGGATAAGCAATATGGCTACAACTATTTCTGTCATTATTTTAGAACGCCATGTGCTAGTGCCCTTAACAAAGCAACATTTTCAGTCCAAGTCCTAGATAATTTTTGGTATGCCTCCTGAATGTTTGTAAAAGAATATCTTCTGGTTCTTTTTTCATTAATCCCAGTCCCTTAACCTTTGCTGGGGGGGGTTTTAGTACATCTTTGATATAGAATCTAATAGGATTTTTCTTGCATAGGTAAGAAGTACATGCAGAATATATATCTGGGGCCTCTTCCTGCACCAAATTACTCTCAGATCTATAAATTCTCCTACAAAATAGGTAATCTCAGTGCCATGTCATATTTCAGTCTTTCCAAACATAATCTCCTTTGTGACCCCTGAGGACCTCCTGAAAAGAGGAATTCTGATCTGATTTGTGAGCTTTAGCCATACTTTGAAAATCCCTTTTTTTTTTTCAGTGTGAAATCTGTGGGAAGTTTTGCTTTAACAAGGAATTGTCCAACAGTTGGTGCTTGATCATTTTGGATATCTTTTAATAAATCAATGGAGATACTTTGCTATAGCGATGGTTTTCTCCCCGTTAAACCTGTCAAGGAGGAATAACCAAAAAGATAAAGCTGTTCATTGTTAGAGTCTTATCACACAGCCTCTTTCAGTGCTTGGCAAGGTGATACTTCCCAGCTTTTTTCTCACCAAAAAGGTGATTATATTAAACAAGATTATACAATTATATTAAACAAGAACGTTGAATGGAGAATTCCTTCTCAAGATCTGCCTTGCATGGCTTCTTACAGGTGCAAAATGTGGAATTTAAATCAAATTAAGGGTGAAGCAACAAGGCTGAGAGCAGCAGCTGTCAGACAGGAGATCTGTCTGTTTGCTCAGACATATGTTCTCAAACTGAACTTTTCCCTTGTGATCCATTGTGCCCATTCTCCCAGCGGAGAGAGGCTTCATGTTTGGAGGGCATCAGATGGCAAACCTTAGAAAAATTGATTGAAACAGTGCAAATAATTATCTCTAAGCACGCACAGAGGTTTGTTACTGCTGCTGTTATGCTTTAAAATATCCCAGTGCAGAGTGAGGATTAGGGGAAAAAAAAGCTATCTTAATGAGTTTACAGTTTAATAAATCCATCATATTCCAGGCTTACAGGGAAGCATAAAGAAGAGCCAGTGTTTGGAACGAACCATTTCAAGGTGAGCACAAGAATCAGTTCCTGAATCCCTGGCTGTCCCAAGCCAACATCAGAAGACCAGAGCATGGTGTACTGAAGGTGATTTTTATTGATAGTGCCTGAGTGTCTGCCAAACTAAAGTCACACCAGCCCAGCATAAATCTGGAAGGAATTCCCTTCCTAGACAGTTTTAGTTTTGTGACTGGGATTGTTCAGATCAACCTTTTCTTCTCCGGGGCATTTTTAAAAATTTATATTTCAAGTTAAAAATACTACTTTTTAAGATTAAAAAAAAAGCCCCAGCATGAGCAGAAGGAGAAGCACTAAACCTGCCCAGCTGACATTAAAATGACAGTTACACTCAGGCTCTCGCTGTGGCGGAGGGTGGCAGCAGATTTTCATGAAGCACATGCACTCCCTTAAACACATAAACCTCGACAGAACCAGGCAAGTCAGAGGTTTGGGAGATCCTGCTAGAATCCTTTTTTTTTTTTTTTTTTTTTTTTTTTTGCATTTACATTTCAGTTTTGAGTACCTGAAGGTATTCACAAGTACCTTGCAGCAGCAGCAGCAGCATCTAGGCTGCAACACATAGGTGATGTTTAAGGCTGTTTCCTAGGCTGGATCCTAAGCAGAGCAAAGGATGTGTTAGGGACAAACTACAGCCACAGCCAGGCAATGCTGCTGGCACAGACAGCTGTAAAAAGAACAGATTAGTGTGAAATTTGGG